AGGCAAGCAACAGAAATAATTCTCACCTTCTGTTTGTGCTGAGCAGATAGAGCAATGTTGTATGTCTGATCTAACACTGAAAATTTGTTGCTGTGCTCCTTCTGCTTAGTTTGCTTTATGCCTTTATCAAGCTGAAAGCCTTTTGAAGTCTGTGGGTCATTTTCTTTTCTTCATATTGTATGTTGTTTCTAAATGAATTAGCTTCTAAGCTAATCTGTCACAGATTTAATTATAGCACACAATCACAAGGGACTTGCTTTTTCCTGATACCGAGCAAGGAACTTTATTGAATAAGGAAAACAGTTGTGTACTTGATTCTAATTTGATCTTCCAGTTTCTCTGTTTCATTGTGGAGCTACTGCAGTCTTTACTTACTAAAAGATTTAAGAAAAAGGTATCTGGATAAAAAGAGTGGTTGTATTTGTGTCTTCTGACCACAAGAATATGCAACACCCTGAAAGTGGCAGAAGTTGTTTCCTGCGCTTCACAGAAGAGGAATTATATTCAAGTGTCTTGGATTCCTCCTCCATAATAGACCACCACCTTAAGTCAAGGAGAGAGTCTTGTTATAATTTTTTAACCTCATCTTCTGTACTACTTTCTTCCTGAAGTCTTCTCACTTGGACATGAGCCTCTTGATATTAATACTCCTGCTCTGCTCACAGACGTGTTGTTGAAAGAGGTTCATCTGTGTCCAACAGCACTTTCTTGCTGTTATTTTTCCTAACCCCTATTTTCTTTCCTTGATTCCAAGGCTGTTTTGTTATATTTTCTGTGATAAAAGGTTTGGAATTACTCTTTCCCTCACTTTGCTAACAATATACCAAAAACTACACTTCTTCCCTCTATAGCTTGCTCTATAACATCCTTTATGTAGGGATGATTTTGGGTACCAGTAAATATTGTGGTATTCTCTTTGCATTAGACTCAGGGTTTGCCAGACCTTTGTACAGGTGTTATGTAGATAATATTCTGTGTGAGCATTAGGAATAGGTGAGAGATGCTTGGTGAAAGCTGTGCTGCTTTTCCCCCCCCATCCTGTGGAAGGTGCTTTCTTTAGTTATATAGGCAAATAAGTGTTTCCTCTGTAAACATGGTCCCTTCTCAAACCCTAAACTATTTGTTGAATTGTGTTACTGATCTCTGAGATGATCAGCTACTTCTGATTATCCTGTTGGGAGAGCTGCTCAAGAGTTTAAAGCCAGGAATCAGTACTAGCTTTGCTTCTGGTAAACATGATGTCAGTTTATGTACCTGACTGTCCAGATGCAGGATTCCCAAGGGCAATAGATATTCCTTCTTCCTCTTCCTTTTCTCTCATTCTTGCTCTGGTTTTTTCCATCTTAAAAAAACAAAGTACTGTAAGTGGTCTATGCCACAGAAATATGTTTGTCACACTACATCACTTTGAACTGCATAACTTCAAAGAAAATCAGTGCTTTGATAACTTGATTTGAAAGGGTTGTAGAAATAGCCATCATTATGAATCACAGCAGATAGGAATGGAAAAGATGGTGATTTTCAAATAGCAAAGCTTGTAAGGTAGGGGAAAATGTAAGATGAGTGCCAGTGCCACATTCTCATCTAAAAAAAACCCCAATCATACAACTGTATGTAGCTTTGCAGAATAAGATTTCTTGAGGGTATGAAGAGGAATGAGAAACACTCTGTGTAAAAATTGTGTTTCTGAGGAGCGAGGAAACAAATGTGGGCTCAGGAAAGGGCTGTAACGAGGGAGAAAGCAATGTGTGCTGCTTAGGTAAGAATTTCTTCCACTTTGTCCTCTTCATAGAACTACCCTTCCTGAAGATGAAGGGCATCCCAGATTGCTGGTTGAGACCCTCCTACCCCAGAGACCTTCTTTCAGTTCTTATGGGCTGGACATAGGGAGGAGGAGAGAAAGCCCTCCTCGCCCCCAGCACTTCTCTGCTTTGTCATTCCTCTCCTGAGAAAACTCTCTCCATGGACTGGAATGAGTTGCTGGCTCTAAGAGACTGCAAGAAATTAGGCCTTAAAATGGTGACTTCTCAACTGCAATTGTTTTAGTTTAGGATGTTGGCAATTCAAATTGAACTTTGGTTTATTCTTGCCTTTAGTCCAACACGTAGGAGTTAGGGCATTGAGACAAGCTATCAGCTTGTGGAGTCTCAGAGGGTGCACAGTGATAGGTAAAATCCATCCTCATACCCAGACAAATAAGTGTTGGCTAGTGGGGAATGTTTATAAAGGTTTCAATGACATTGAGGTGGGAGACTTCATTTGCATTCAGACACAGCTTTACCACTAGTACTTCCTAGCTGGTCCAAACACACTGAGCTAGAAAATACATCTCATTTAGTAGTCTCTGTTTCATCCAAGGTGAGGTAATGGCTGTATGTAAGGAAAGCTCAGGTTGGAGCTATTTGATATATACAGGCAGATGCTTCAGTGTTTTTTGGTGATAGGGAATTCAGAGGCAGCTAGTAAGGAGAAAGATTCAAACCCTTCACTTCTTTTAGCAAGGCTGATGCAGAAGAACATGCTGTACTGAGATATTGCTAACACAAACACCCTCTCTGAGGACTTGTTCCCGTTTAGTTTGGGAAAGGGGAATGTTTCCTTTACAGAGGGGCAAGATTTACCTCTGTTGTGCTTTAAAAAACATGGGCTCCTTAGCAACAGTTTGAATATCTTCTGCAAGCATCTTCCAGGGCTACTAGTCAGATGAGTCTGGAGTCAGACAAACAGGACTGGTATTTCATGTCTCATCAGCTGTTCAAAACCTTCACCTCTATGTATAAATGCATTTAAAAACATGAAAAAAAATAGTTCTATATGTACTACATAGTATTGATACTGGGCTTACTAACAGGTGTGCCAGCTGACTTCATAACAGCATAGTGGAGCAGGACTGCGTGGAAACTCTTAACTGACCACTGAGGAAACTACTTTTTTTTTTTTTAAAAAAAAGAAAAGAATGTGACAGAAAAAATAGGAAATCGCATGTTTTGCACTGAGGAAAATATGAAGTTGTCGGCTTCTAAGTTCTGATCCCAAGCCACAGTCAGAGGTCATCTTTTTTTTAGTAACACGCTCCTGAATTACTTGAATTTACTTTACCCTTATAAAAGTGATACTTGCATTCTTTCTGCCCTAAAATAGTGCTTTGCAAAAAGTGCTGCTAATCACCATACAAAAAAGTATTTCTACAATGATAATAGTTTACTTTAATATAATGTTTGTGTTTTCTGTTTGATTATTAGCTGAGATCACATGTTTGCATTATGTGTGTTGAGTTATGCCACTTAAGATACATGTTTATACTTATGCTCTGGTCTTATGAAGGGTAAAGGAGGAGACATTTAACATAATTATCTCTTTCATCAACTGACCTGTTTATATATTTGCCTTTTTCAAGAAACTGCATATCTTCACTTCAAAAAAAAAAAAGGGGGGGAGGGGAAGAGAGAGATGAGCACAGGACATGTCCCACACTGATTCACTTGATAGTGCATATTGCAGAGAATCAGTGGCCAAATGGCTCTGGAGTGTGGAAGAGGAGGAAGTGAGCTAATTGTATTGGTCAGATTATTGTAATTATTTTGATTAGAGCAGAGGGGGCATGGTAACATCGGTTGATGTGAGGAAGGAGGAGTTGGATGTTTGTCTCGAGTATATGAGCTGCAATCTTTCCTCAAATCAGGGTAACTTCTACTGGGGAGAAAAGATGCCTTCAATGGGACAAGTTACATAATTACACTAAATCAGTTATATTGACAAAAGCAGTTGTCAGTTGACTTCTACCTGAAAAATTCTGTTTAACTAATACTTTTTCTATAAAAGTGATGTACAAGGATTCTGCTAATCATCATTTCTAACCAGCTGCAGCAGAGACCATCTGAGCATACAGCACTTGCTGCAGCAGAGCTCTAGAGCTGTGGCTGTAGCTGTAAATGTAATATGGGAACACTGGCATTTGAAGGAAAAGCAAAAATACCATCACATGTGGTGTATCAAAGAGGTGTTGTTAACAACCACAGACATCTTTTATCTTACTCAAACACTTTTAGCCTCACTTCCTCAGCAGATTGTTTAATGTGTCTGTCTTTAACCATCCACTCTAATATTAATTGAACCTGTTGGCTCGTTTTAGTCACTATTGAAAGACAGAGGTGTCAAGCACATTCAGTTTTTATGTGTTTTGTGAAAACAGGTGGTCAGGTGAAGGAGAGCTCTGCATTAGTTCTTTCCAACTAAAGCAGCAGCTTTTGAATACATTGTTTTACCCCAGGGACTCCACACAAGAGGGCATGGGAAGAGGCAAGGGATCCAGCTGTGAAAAAAGTACAGGCAGACCTCAGACCTTGTAAGACACAGGGTAATCCAATCGTACGGAAAAAAAAACCCTGCTGGAAACTGAGCTGTGTCACTGCTGCTAGTCAAGAACTACTCATTCTCAATGTGACTGCTGCTCACAGTTATTATTCATGGTTTGACTGTGGTTTGCCTTGGCTGTGCTAATTGTGTGGCTGAATCCTACCTGCCAAGTCAGCATCCCCCCTGGCTGTCAGCAGGAGCTGGCTTGCACTCCTCCAGGCAGGCAGTGCCGGCCCATTCTGTTGTGGGGAAAATGGGAGCTCTCTGGAGCAAGCTCATAATACTTCTGTGGTCTGCTGTTTTCTATCTACGCTTCAGGGCATGACTTTCAGATGGCTATGGCTTTTAAATGCCCAGTGTCTCAAAGTAAGTCTTGTGCCTTTGTTTCTTAAGAATTGGTAAGTATCCTTTGACTGCTGTCTGAACTCTTTGTCAAGATGCCCAAGTTAGTTAGTGTGTGCTTTTTCAGCACTAGTTTAAGAATTCCTTTATTTTTTAGGGAATGAGAAATATCTCATTGGTAAAATAAATGAAATTTTAAAAGGGTCTCAGATGAAGGAATAATTACTTTTCTGACTCCATCCTGAGTGTGTACCTCTGGCATGATGTACAAACCCAGACTTTTCTCCTTCTCTCTTCTCTAGGCTGTCAGCGCTCCATAGGTTTGTCCAATGGAAAAGCCAAGGTGTGCAGCTACAGTGGATGGTATTACTGCAGCACCTGCCACGTGGATGACAGCTTCCTCATCCCTGCACGGCTGGTTCATAACTGGGACACTTCCAAGTACAAGGTAATCTCCCTGCAGGTTGGTTTGCTAGCAAGTGAACTGAATTGCTCTTTAGATAGAAACATAGACATTTCAGCAGCCTGGAGGTTACAGGCATTGACTGCTAATACTGTCTTCTTTGTCCCTCTTGTCAGAATGAGCCACACTCTCTCAGCAAGACAGATGTTTTAATCACAGTTTCCTTAGCCAGGCCTAAGGTGTTCCTCCACAGGAGTAGCCATGCTCCTCTTTCTTGGTGGCATCTTTTTCATCATTGCTTACCTAGTTGTTCAAGAGACAGGGAGAGGTAGCACACTGCAGCCTCTCTTTTAGTCCTAATCTTTGCAGTTATTGGGGCCCTTGAGGAGTACCTGTTCCATGAGCACCAGGGGCTAAGGATTGGCACCGCTTAGTGGTGGATGCTAAATTGTGGAAATGCCCACACACAGTGTTTGGGGGGTGCAGTATGCCCTGTCTCCTGGCAGGAACATTTCGAGGACACTAGGAGGACATTGCTGTAGCACTCGGTTGGACCAGACAGACAAAAGTAACATAAGGAGAAAATTCTACAGTTGTTCACTTGCCACACAAGAGCTTTTCTAAAACTTTTGTAATATGCTATTTGCTGCTGCCTCAGTGGCTGATTGCTAGATAGGGGCAACTGATTACATACCTCAAAGCACTATGCCAGCAAACACAGTAGCAGTGTTGTTTTGCCATCTTAGGCAGTATATGCTGAAAGAATAACAAATTCATAAGGAATCCAGACCATGCTAGAGCTGCAGACCTAGCAGCCACTGTTAGGAGAGGTTGTTTGATGTTTTGTGTCTGCAAATATTATTATTATGTGCTATTTGAAAAGGAAAAAATAACCAGTAAATGCCCTATTAGAGGAAAAGCAGGTCTCTCTTGAAGAAAATTTGTCAGACAGGGAGATTATTAAAAGATAGCCAGAGCCTGCCATCAGGAAAATGACAGTTTTGCGCTGTGAAATGCAAGATTCTTCAGTTACAAAGCTGCTATGTGTGGAGACAAAAAGCCCTCCCATGCCTAGAAGTTAGGAATAAATATTTAAAAGTTCTTTCTTTGGATGCTTTTACCAAGGACTAAACTTGCTAGCCCATGGTAGTATAGGTAGCCCTAATAAGGGGCTAGTAGATGGTAAGGCGCAGACCTCATGTCAAACTGTCATTAATACTGCCAAGAAAATTAACTGGTTTTTTTCTAAACCTGCAGGGTAAAAACTGTGCTCTGTACTCTGTTTCCTATGGTCTTTATATAGGCAGCTGAAGCACAAAAGAAAATGGGACTTTCAAGATTAAACATTCATTAAAAACTTAATCTACTGTCATCTCACTATAATACTTTTTGTAGACAGACAGAACAGATACGAGGTGGCTTGGGAAGATGAACAAATTCTGTGCAGATACTTTACCAGTCTTTGTGGCAAAATGCTACAGCATCCCCAACTATTAGAACAGAAATTAAGACAGGGTGGGAAAGTTAAGAGGATATAATCTGCTGTGGTGGCAGTGTGACAACTAAGTTGAGATTGCTGGTTGGATCTCCTCAACTCCATCCCATCCACTTAGAGCATTTAAATAACAAGTAGTTTCTCTTAGGGTTTTCCCCATTCTCTTCAGTTCTACATACATGTGCTTTTATTTCCATCCATACTATACCTCCCTGGGAATTAAGTGTTGCTTTTCTGAGATAGAGTATATATTTGACTGCACTTTCACATCTGCATCTCCTCTCTCCATTCAGAGATAAGGTTTGGTGTTTATTTCAACTTAGTTCTGGCTGCTGTACTTAACAGTTGTAATGAAACTACATAATTCCTTAGTAGTGTATTGATCAAATGTGCAATCCCAGGCACAAGTAGAAGCTGGGCAGAGAATGGATCAAGACTAGAGAAGAACTTACTATCATGAGACCCCACCTGGAGGGAGTACTGTGTCCAGCTCCCTGTTGTCTGGCTCCAGAGCTGGCCCCCAACACAAGAAAGGTGTGAACCTATTGGAGCAGGACCAGGGAAGCCAAAAAGAGCCAGGGAGGCCAAAAAGATAATCTGAGGGCTGGGGCACCTCTCCTGTGAAGACAGACTGAGAGAGTTGGAATTGTTCAGCCTGGAGAAAGGAAGGCTTTAGGGAGACCTTCTAGTACATAAAGAAGCCTACAAGAGAGTTGGGGAAGGACTTTTCACAAAGGGCCAGGGGTGACAGGATAAGGGAGATTGGCCTTAAGATGAAGGAAGGTAGATTTAGATTAGATATTAGGAAGAAACTCTTACTGTGAGGGTGATGAGGCACTGGCACAGGTTGCCCAGAGGGGATGTACTCCATATCCCTGGAGATGTTCAAGACCAGGCTGGATGGGGCTCTGAGTAATCTGTTGTGGTGGAAGGTGCCCTTGCCCATGGCAGTGGGGTTGGAACTAGATAATCCTTAAGGTCCCTTCCAACCCCCCCCTTCTATGATTCTATGATTTGGCAAAGATAGATATCTTGTCTCACTTCCTTGAGATGATCTTAATAGTAATAATTTTCTTTTGGCTTATTTTTAAAAGACACTTAATTTGTCAGCATTTCACCTCCCATAATTGGCCAGCATGCAGCAACATCCCAAATGAAGATAAACAACAGAGCTTCTCCTATACACATAACCCTGCTCCTTGCAGGTAGCACAACAATGCCTGAAAGTAGAGTTTCTGCAGTGAGGGACTTGCCCCTGGCCACACTTGTGGCACATCCCGAAGAGGTCCTGCAGGAAATAAATACATACCACATTTGATGGTCAGAACTGAAACAGGGCTTCAGTCTTCAAAAGCTTCTGTTTTACACAGTCTGAAAGGTGCCAGTCAATCCACCAAATGGAAGCAAAGTTGAATGAAGAGTTTGTAAACCTGCACTCCTTCCCACTGCCACCTTTTCCCTGCCTCCATAGGGGTTTCTGGTGTCTGTCCTATCTGGCAAAGCAAACACCACTAGGTACTGTAGGACATGAGCTTTTACAGTGTAATTGGGCGCGTTTCTCTTTCAAATTTCATGGACTCGACATCTGAGCAGCAGCTGTAAACTGTTACATCAATTAAATAAGTTTTGAAATTGAGAGGTTCTTGTCTGCTTTTGGCAAGATGCATCATGAAAGAACAGAAGCAATAAAAATCTGTAGAGTTGTCTCTTCCCATAACCCAGGATCTTGAAAAACAACAAATACACTTAACACCTGGAAGCACGTGTATAGGAAAAGAAAAATCCTCTTGGCTGCAAGAGAAGCTCTTTGAAAGGACTTGGTAGTTAGGCATGTTTCTTCTGTCATAACCAAAGCAGCAGCTCAGTCCCCAGGTTCGCTTTTTTCCCCACTGTCTCCCTACTGTCTTCATATTTGTGTTTTTCGTGTGTTTGGTAGAAGGGAACAGAAAAGAGGTGATCTTGTGAACATCCTTTCTTCCTTTTACTTAGGCCAACTGTTTTCCCTGTTTGCACACAAAACTCACTAAGTATTGCAGTTTGGTTCAGGTGGTTTTCAGCCTGTGCAAAATGCCAGACAAACACAGCAGGAAATGAACTCCCTGTGCCAGAAGGCTTCAAGGGAGGCTGACTTCTGGTAATTGAATTCTGAACTGTAAGTTTGCAGGCTCTAGAAAGGAAAGGTCTGGAAAATGTTAGCATCCATCCTTGTATGACATTTAAAGCTAAAACCCTGTTGCCCTTTGCATCTTCTCAATCCTTCTGGCTGATTTAATAGGATTGTCTTGTCTGCCCAGTAAAACTGGGGGACTGTGAGTATGCTTAGGACATATGCTAGAATATTGGCTGGTATCAAGCTGAATTACTACAACTGCCTGACCCTTCCCATTTTAAGACTGCATTTTGGCTTCTTATAACTTTGCTATGGTTGGCAATGTGAGTTAATGTTTTGCAAGACATGTGTGCCTATGTCAGGTGTGCAGAGTGAACTGACACCTATCTGTCAGCCAGTGATGCTGGGCAAAGCTACTTTTCCTGCAATCAGAATTCCAGGGGTACATTGTATTGGCAAGGCGAGAGAAAACCTTGCTTTGCTGCTCTCCTCAAAGGCTGAATTCAGACCATGCAGCACCAGAGCTGCACAGTAATGCTTTGTCATCATAGTGCACATGTATGGCAGAGTCACTCAGGGGACCTCAGTTGTGGCATCTTTTTGTTTCTGTACTCTTAATGCCTCAGGAGGGATGCCCCACAGAGGGTACAGGTGTGCACAGGTGAGGGTGTAGTACTTGGACAGTAACTGCTCTTCAGTTCCCCAGATAGCAGGGCAGGTGGATGAGGAGTCCATCACTTCAGCAGAGGTTTAAAGCGAGAAGATAGACAAAGACATCACTGAGCACAAGGTCCTCCTGGTCTGAGGTGCTAGTCATTGTACCAAGTGTTCACAAGCCTCCTAGGGAATCACTGAATACATAGCTTAATTTGCTAGTTGGTGGAAGAGGACTAATATTCGCCATAGATACAGCAGTTGTCAGGGGATTGCTGAGATATTGCAGTCAAATGGTTTAATAATTGTAAAAGCAGGTTGTTTAATGCAGTCTCTTCTATGCACTTCAGTAAACATAATAAAGTATCAACATTGCTAGTGTTAGAAAACTTGATATATTTGGAGTTTGTAGAGTTTTTTCTACAAAGTCCAAGTTGCTTGTGTTGCTCCATGTTACTTCTGATTCCACTCAGCACAGTTCCTTATACGTGCATGATACCTGAAAAATAAAAAAAGAAAAAAAGAAGAAATTAGTGAGATGTTTAATATAAATAGGTGAGATATTTAATACAGCTTCAGGGCCTGGGAAACCTGTGGAGTTATGGTCTGCTGTATTTAAATTAACACATTGTGTTATCTCTGTAGTTATTGGTGGGAAGGCAGGCCTTGGCATTATTTCTTACATATTTATTATGCATTGTGAAAAGGTTACATTTGGGGCTGGCTTTCCCTGTCAGTAGCTAGTAACTAGTGCTGGGTTTTGGAAATGGTGCTGTTTATAAGAGTGTGTATTGCTTTTTTACTTACTTCTTACCTTACTGCCCCAGAAGGGAAATAACTTCCTAAATCTCAAGAGGCTGTGGTTTAGTAGTGCTGTGCCCTTTCTACTTTTGTTAGCTTAATTCATCCCTTCCTGGACTCAATGTAAACACTGATTTAAAGGCCCAGGAGGACTAATTGAATTGTGGAACCAATAGTATTTCTGTAGCACGGTTTCAAGTGATTTGCAGCTCATTTAAGGTAATCCCTGTGACAAAATGCAGAAATAAGGAATGAGAGGGAATTTGGTCTTCTCACCTCAGAAACAGGAGTATTTTTTCTAGTGGAACAGAAATCCCATGAATTTATCAAGATTACAGTAGCTCTTTGCAGGTGGAGATAGAACAGGGCACTATAATGAAAAAGGCATAAGAAAAACTTCTTGCAGATGAAACATTGGGAATGAGTAATACCAACAAAATTCAGTTTTATTTATCTGCATTTTAAAAAACACAACAACTTGCTTCTTGCCAAAGAGAAATCAACAAACAAACAGAAAAATACTGGCAGGGAAGAAACTTGGTAATCGGATTTTAGACTTGAAAAACATCTAGTAAGCTGTGTTACTCTGCAGCAAAAGCGTGTGTGGCTGCAGATATCGCTCTACATTGGGTAAGTAAGCACTTATCTCATACACTCAATTTTGAGGCATTTGATCAAGTTTGGCTTGGCTATAAGCAGAGAGAGTTGGATCTCTCTCAGCTCTGTCTTCATTTGTAACTGATAACATAGTAAGTTTTCAGGTGCATAGAGTAACTCAGATCACAGAGGGGAAGATCTGCTTAAAAAGAGCTGGGAGGAAAGCCTAACTAAACGACTTTATTTTTCAGGTATCAAAGCAAGCCAAAGAGTTCCTGGAATATGTTTATGAGGAGCCATTGATTGATATCCAGCAGGAAAATCCCATGCTGTACAAGCATGTTGAACCTCTGGCAACTGTTGTCCGGCTGAGACAGCAGCTAAAATCTCTCCGAGCCTACTTGTTCAGCTGCAGAGCTGCAGTGGCTGAAGATCTGCGTAGAAGGTAAGAACCATAGACAGGATACAGCACAAGGATGTAGTTTCCTTGTCATGTTGCTTCCCCCACACACTTTTTGTTTTTTCTCACAGTCTAGTTCTGAAGGTGTTAGTCATTTAGAAAGGTGGTGTGTTTGTATCTGACTTCCCTGAGCAGCTGGGTTATCCTATGGCAAAGAAAATGATTTTATAGGGTCTGAATATCCAAAGTTGTTCTTGACAGCTATCAGTACAGGGGGTCACACACTGTGGTGAATCTTTTACTCCTCCTCGGGCTTCCTGGCTGTGTGTGATTATTTTCAGTCAGGTGAGATATCTCATGCTCCTTGCTGTGGCATCACAGTGTAGTAGCCACTGCTGGGACCTTTGAAACACCTCACACTGTGGCAAAGCATGAGAGGGGCCAGAGTCAACCACCTGTCCACTGCTTCTGACTTCTTCTGTGAGATGACCTCACCCAGAGGCAGAGGCCAGATGTAGTCCCCCAGCACATGACCCAGCATGTGATTTATGTGACACCAGAGCAGTTGGGCTCTTTCTCAGGCAGTATCCATGACATGGCTGTGCTGAATGTTTTGTTTATTGGAAAACACACGGTCATAGCACAGCAAAAAGTGTTTCATATTGCGTTTGCTGTGATGAAAATGGTAGTTCTATAATAAGTGAACTTCGTTTTAGAAGTGCTGTATCTTAGTCCATTCAGCTACTTCTGTATTTTTCTAACAAGCTAAAAATTATCAATCTTTTTGAAACCATCAAACCACAGTTGTGACCTTAAAAAAGCCAAATAACTTTTGTTGTGGATCTCCAAAAGAGATGGGGAGATGTGTCTGTCATGCTGCACTGTGAGGTGAGTAGCTCTGGGCACATGCAGCTGACCTGATGCATCTGTAAGCATTTGTATACCCCAGTTTTTAAGATAAGACTTGCAAGTAGGAAAGCCACTGCTCTGAAACTGTGAGCTGCTGAAGGGCAAGAAAGCAGGTGACATCAGGTGACTGTATTTTGAGCATGGTGTTTTAGGGACCTGAATTCTCTGGAAGGGGGAGGAGGCTGCACTAGTGCCTTTATCCCAGGTAAGGAGAGCTGGTCTGCCATTTGGTACATAACCCATGTCATTGCTTTGGTGAACTACCTAGAACAACTAAGAGAAGGATACAGCAATAGATTTCTGGAGAGTTCTTATGTCAGACCCACTTAATATGTGCTTGTGTTTTACTACTCAATTTCTATTATTTGTTAGGGCAGCTTACAGCATTTTAAAATTTAGGATGGTTCTTCTTTTATTCTAGAGGATGGAATTATCTTGCAAAGCTGTTTTCCTGTTCAGCTATAATAACTTTTCTATGCCATCCCCTTCAACAGTGATAAACCTAAAAGGAAAATAAGATTTGTGAAGGCTGCTGTTCAGATGAAGTGGCAAAAAGGAGGTGATGCTTTCTGATTAATGTTGAAGAAAATAATTCTCTGGTTAAAATAGAGAAGGAGGCAGGAAACTGAACGGACTTGGTTAAGAGAGTAAAAGAAGAGAGTTCAAATGAGACCTAAGCAGAGAAATCAATAAACTGGACAAAAAAAAAAGGGGGGGGAAAGAGAAACCCAGGAGAAGGAGATTCAAAGAGGGAAGGGATCTCAGAAAATTAAGAATTAATGAGGAAACCAGGACAAAGGGGGAACCCCAAAACCTACCTCCAAAAAGGAGAGATGACAAATACTGAGGAAATGGACAGAAGAGAGAATGGACAAAAATTATCACAGAAATGTGAGCATGGTCTTTTCTTGGAACAGGGAAGAGAGAGAAAATGTCCCTGTATCAAAATTAAACACCCAGAATGGCAGATGGGGAAACTGGGAAAAAATACTTCAAATGTTTCTTATCTAAGGTTTCCTTTGCACTGTCTCCAATTAAAGCTCTCTGTGGTGGAGGGAAGGACCCCCAGCCCAGGAGGGGTTTGGTTTTGTACTAGGGAAGCATCTCCAGGACTTGTTAAAAGTGTAAAAGGCACTGAAGGAATGTACAAAACAGACCTTAGAGTCCAGCCCCTTCTTGGTCTGTGAAGTGGATTTGGTGATCAACTGCTCCCTCAGATCTCTCTTAAGAGGTTTGAAGATATGAAAAGAAAGAAAACTTCTTTACCCAGAAGGAGTTATTCCTTGCTCAAAGTGCTCCCAGTGGTTTTGCATTCTTCATCTAGTATCCCATTGTGCAGACATTCACTATCAATGTGATGATTTTATAGAGCAGAGCTGAAAAGTAAACAAAGAAAATATGTGATTTAAATTTTCCTTTGGTTCATCACATGGACAAGTTGCAAGACAAGGAGGAGTTTAAACAGTATGGTGAGAGAGCATTCCTAAACTTAGTACTCTTTCCTAATTAGAAATTAAAACCTGGGAGAGAGAATCCAGTTATCTGTCCTGCTCTAAAAACATTCTTTTTCTCCTTGGTCTTCACCTTAGTATGTGAATAACTATTAATCACAAGAAAGTGAACACAGCATCTTGAAGACCTGTCAGACCCATATAAACAGATTGAAACAAACTGTTAATATTGCTGTCTACAGAGAACTAAAAACAGACTGATTAATTGTATTGGCACCTTGCTGCCTCTGGGACACTGATAGAGCCTGCCTTATTAGGGAAAAGCAGATCACTCTGAGGTTTCTTTTATTAATACTATTTGCATTATCATCTACTTTAAATCTACACCCCGCTCTTCAGCCCAGATCACAAAATGAAGACGGCAATGAAGTTGGAAACTCTTGGTGTCCTCTGTGAAGACAAAACTGTTTACAGTGCTTACAGTCACTTTTTCTGAAGACTTCCAGATGGCTATAAACCAGGTTAGCTCAGGATCCAGTTGGTTTAAATGTGGACACGTTATTTATATTGTTTGGGGTACATAGGTACTTTAAGAACTTTGAAACTTGGCATCTAGCAGAGAACTCAGGGCTAATACCACATTGTGAACTTTCAAGAAGCAAGTAGAGAAGAAGGAAAGAAGAAAAGAAAAGACACAGAAGAAATCCTAAAAGTAGCTAGAAGGTTTGCAATAAAAATGGTCTCATCAGTTATAGTGATTTATTCTCACCTATTGCTCCACTATATTCTAAACTCTTTTTATATTTGCAAGGTGAAAAAATAAGGAACCTGGACTTGGCTGGGAGGTGAAATAAGGCCCTTCACCAGTGTGTATGTGCAGTGTTCCTCTAATATTAGCCAGATGAGACTCTGGCCCTGTTGCTGAGCTCCATTTTACAAGGGATGTTGTTATGCCTACCTTGCTGTAACTGTCACCTCCGTATTGCAACACACATTATTTGCCTCAAACATCTTTACTCAACAAGTTCTCGCTTGTTTTGGTAGCTTTGCTTGTGTGGATGCTGTTCAGGCAAAAACATACAAGACTGAAACCTAGAGCCAACACAGAATTAGTACAAGTGGAACTGTACAGATCCCACCACCACCCGCAGATTGTGAGATGGTAAATGAATGGCACAAACATGAGGGATTGAATAAAATTGGTGGCCAGGAAACAGTGAGAATCTCCAAGTCCATTAAATAATGAGGGTATTCTGTGAAACTGTGCTGAATGATGCAAGTTCTCTTCTAGGTTTGCTTTGCTCCTGTTGTGATTGAAAGTCCTTCAGGTCAAGGAACTGTCACAATGATTTTTTTGGATGTCTCCAGGTACCTCCATGTCTCCTGTAGGGTAACCCAGGTCAACTTTGGCTCTGGGGAGCCCTCTGGGCTCTCTGCTCTCTCAGCTATCTCTCAGCTATCTAAACTTGCAGTTCAGGTGCTGCTTGCCCAGATACTTTAGGCCAATGACAGTGACACAAGGTAAATGTTCTGTAGCACATTCCTCTATGCATTAGTGTTTGTTGCAGTGCCCTAGTTCTGTAAGTGAATCTGAATGGTGATGAGAAACTAAATGGAAAAGCATTTCCCACTTGTTACTCATCTCTACCTGATACCATTTGTCTGTCAGCTCCAGAAAAGCAATACATCAGTTTTACCTTAGCAAAACTTCAGTGCTGGATACATTACTTAGCATCTTACAGGAAGACCAAATTAGAGCTTGCTGTTGCTGCAGGAGGTTAAAGGTACACCTCCAGTGCTGCAGACCTGTGGTCTTGGCTGAGCCTGCTGGTCTGTCAGCACGAAGTGAAACAAGCCCAAATTCAGTAATGCTGAACAATAGAGTCCTGTCACTTCCTACAGTGAGGCCTTAGACATATTGCTTCTGACACAGGAGTAGATTACTTTCAAAATATTTGTGTGGCAATTGGGGAACCTGTCTAAACACATTGCAGGAATCCTGACTGATCTTATGCAATCACTATACCACCAAATACCTCACGTGTGTGAAGCTGGGGCTATGTCATCTTTCAGACCAAGGACAATAGAAGGTCACTAAGTCATGTCCAGACTGTCAAAGGAGACTGTTTTCTCCATTTTCTTTGCAATGGTTAGGCCATTTGGAGAGTGGAAAATTCCAAAGCAGGAGAACAAAGACACAATTTGTGAAAGCAGTAAACTGCAAAAAGAAAGTTTGAGCAGGAAAGGAACAGAAGGATATGGTTTCATAGCACTTGGGACTCTGAGATAAATTTTCTTCTTCTGTTGGTCTTGCCATTATTGCATGGGTGATTGGAAAGAGGGCAAGAGGGAAACTCAATTCAAAGAGGATATCTGGTTGTCCTGAGACGAGCCAGTGTTAAGACAAAACAACATCCTAAAGTCTGTTCACTTGAGAGTTGGACTTGATGATACTTGTGGGTCCCTTCCAACTTAGAGTATTCTGTGAAAGTGAGGAAAGGTGAGAAAATAAATGCAGAGAAGTATGCACAAACCATTTGTTTTGTATAGATCCTGCATGCGTGTAGTTGTTGCAGTGGCTGAAATAAAGCATGCCAGTTGATGGAATTCCTACAAACAGACCACCTCCATCTCTTTGTTTCAACTCTTCTCCCTTTTGGATGAAGTAACTATGTATCCAGAGGT